AGGGGTAGCCGGGCCCAGGGGGCGCCTGAGCTGGAGGCGGAAGCGTGAAGTCGGGACTGAGTGGGCGAAGAGAACCTGGGCTGAGGTGAGGCCCAGAAGCGATAATGGAGGAGAGAAGGAGCTAGCCCCCGAAGGAGTGTTGGGGTGGACACACCTGGGACGGGACCCATTTTCAAAATGTCAGGCTTTTGCATTTTGTCCAGTTTATCCTCACCTAGTTTCTTTCGTGGGCAGGCCAAGCCCTCCCTGAACTCCACCTCATTGCCCGATTCTCTCAGGCCCAGGTGGGACCCAGATTCTTCTTTGTCCTGCCCCGGTCCCCTACCCTTGTGGCTGCTGCTTTTTTATTGAGGTATTTTTGTTTGTTTTGTTTTGTTTTTAATTAGAAATGCCGTCGCAAAGTGAAGACGCCTGGCCACTTGGTCGACTGCACAATATCTTTACCACTCTTAGCCCCTTTTGTTTCAACAAACCCCGAGTCTTAGTGCAATGTTTGTTCTTCCCAACTGCTCCTGGTTCCTAAATGTGGGTACATTAAGGAATCTTAAGAGCAAAGAGGGTGGGGTGGAGGGGACAGAAAACCTGTAATCTTTGGTGCAACTCCAAGAATGAAATGACACTTGATGCTTACATTTTCTTAGCAGACATGACCACTTACCACCAAGAAGGGCAGATGCAGCTGCCCCGAGCTGATGCCATTCGTTCACGTCTCATCGATACTTTCTCTCTCATCGAGCATTTGCAAGGCTTGAGCCAAGCTGTGCCGCGGCACACTATCAGGGAGTTACTTGGTCAGCAGCCTATTTCTTCACTAATTTAAATTTAAGACTCCTATGCACATACTCTACATTTAAGAGTGGAAAATTCTAGGGAGGTCGGTTTAGTTGCTGGTTTACCAAACTTGATAAATCAAGGGCTTGTAAATAAAACTAAGGAGATAGAATCCATGTCTTTCACTTTTAGGCCTAGGATAGCCACTAGCCATGGGTGATTCGGAAAAGTTTCTGTCAAAGACACTTAAGACTTTGTGAACCTGTTGCTTTTGTGGGCATGGACAGTGTTGATCATAAGCAGTACATTTTCTCTCACTCCAAACAGAATTCTTAGTTGCTGTGAGAAGAGAAGGACCAGCAGTAAGGCATTAGGGGGACCCGTTATCTGACCAATATCCCTGCCCCCAACCCTACCTGCTCTATTTTCTTTGTCTTTATCCACTATCCCTTTTTAATTTTTGTTGTAGATCCTTCCCGCCAGAAGAAACTTATGTTGGGAGATCAACATCAGCTAGTGCGCTTCTCTATAAAGCCTCAACGTGTAGGACAGATTTCACATGCCCAGAGGCTGTTGAGCAAGCTTCATGTGCGCTGCAGTCAGAGGCCACCTCTTTCTTTGTGGGCCGGATGGGTCCTTGAGTGTATCCTTTCACATCACTCATTTTTGTCCTGGCTGTTGATGATCTGCTTAATGACTTATTTTTGCTCCCCAAACTCCATTTGCTCATTCTCACCGCTTATGTTATTACCCTTATTATTTCAGCTGCATAAATCAGAAAGAACTCCACTCTGTACATTTCCTTAAGAGACAACAGGTCCTCTCTTCAAAAACTTCATCATCTTCCTGATCTTTTTGAATACGATCGTATTGATGGTTGAAATAGGTGAGAACTGACATTGTGTGAAAGAAGTGAGGCCAGGTGTGGTGGCTCATGCGTGTAATCCTAGCTAGCACTTTGGGAGGCCAAGGCAGGCGGATTGACTGAGCTCAGGAGTTCGAGACCAGCCTGGGCAACATGGTGAAACCCCGTCTCTACTAAAAAATACAAAAAATTAGCCAGGCGTGGTGGCACGCACCTGTAGTCCCAGCTACTCGGGAGGCTGAGGCAGGAGAATTGCTTGAACCCAGGAGGCGGAGGTTTCAGTGAGCCGAGATTGTGCCACTGCATTTCAGCCTGGGTGACAGAGTGCAACTCTATCAAAAAAGAAAAAAAAAAAAGGAAGTGGATAGGAGTAATTTTTTTTTTCTAAATTGATCATTTTACATTTTTGAATGTCATTTGAATTGTGATAGGGACAGTTATATTAAGCCTCCTGGAGTAGGATTTATTCAACTGCTAAAATCTAGAAATATTGGCTGGGCGTGATAGCTCATGCCTGTAATCCCAGCACTTTGGCAGGCTGAGGTGATTGGATCATTGAGGTCAGGAGTTCAAGACTAGCCTGGTCAACATGCTGAAATCCTGTCTCTACTAAAAATACAAAAAATTAGCTGGGCATGGTGGTGGGCACCTGTAATACCAGCCACTCAGTAGGCTAAGGCAGGAGAACGCTTGATCCTGGGAGGCGGAGGTTGCAGTGAGCTGAAATCATGCCACTGCACCCCATCTCAAAAAAAAAAAAAAAAAGAAATATTAGTATTTGGAGGGCTCTCAAGAGTATACTAGACAGAATATCTAGACACATTAATACTAGGTGTAATATGTAGCAATGTAACAAATCCACACGGAACTGAACTTGGGAAGACCAGTTGTATTTCTGTTGTCAGTTTAGGCTGACATTTGTTTGAATTAACCTTTTCTGTTAAGGATATTGGTGCCTATCACTGAATGATCTAATATTTACATTTTTACAAGTGTATTTAGAAAGATTAAGTACAAATAAGAAAGCTTACAAAGTATGGAAAGGTAGGTACAACTAAGATATTAGCTGAGCCAAAAAAATTACTTAAAAAGGAAATGATTCTGAAACCAATAATAAATTATATGAAGCATATTCAAAATATAAGGATGTCTGCAAAATCAGCGAGCTCATTTGTTGATAATCTCAAACTGCTCAGAAATGATAAAAGGACAGTAAAACTACTCACTTGTTTAATTCTCACTGTTGTGGGGAAGCCTCCCACTGTATTTTTTAGAGACAGAGTCTCACTTTGTTGCTTAGGTTGGAATGCAGTGGTGTGATCATGGCTCCTTGCAACCTCGAACTCCAGAGCTCAATTGATCCTCCCCCCTCAGCCTCCTGAGTAGCTTGGACTACAGGTGCATGCCACTACACCAGGCTAATTATGTTGATTTTTTTTTTTTTTTTTTTAGAGACAGAATCTCACTATGTTGCCCAGGCTGTCTTGAACTCCTGGGTTCAAAAGACCCTCATGCCTCAGTCTCCCAAAAGTGCTGGGATTACAGGCGTGAACCACCGTGTCCAGCCTAGGAAGAATTTTTAAGAGAAGGGCAGGCCGGGCGTGGTGGCTCATGCCTGTAATCCCAGCACTTTGGGAGGCCGAGGCGGGTGGATCACAAGGTCCGGAAATTGAGACCCTCCTGGCTAACACAGTGAAACCCTGTCTCTACTAAACATACAAAAAATTAGCTGGGCGTGGTGGCGGGCGCCTGTAGTCCCAGCTACTCGGGAGGCTGAGGCAGGAGAATGGTGTGAACCGGGGAGGTGGAGCTTGCAGTGAGCCGAGATTGCGCCACTGCACTTCAGTCTGGGAGACACAGCGAGACTCCGTCTCAAAAAAAAAAGAGAAGGGCATAGTTATGAAGCTCTTGGCTGTTTATGTCACACAGATATTTCCTCAACAGAAATGTCCAGTGCCTGTAGCCAGTTCAGAACTCTGCCTCTAGGTCCAAATCCCCTACAAGCTCATCTCTGGGGCCCAGGCATGGTGATTCATGCTTGTAATCCCAACACTTTGGGAGGCTGAGGCAGGAGGATCACTTGAGCTCAGGAGTTTGAGACCAGCCTGGCTAATGTGGAGAAACCTCATCTCTGCAGAAAATACAAAAATTAGCTAGGCATGGTGACACATGCCTGTAGTCCCAGCTACTCAGCAGGCTGAGGTGGGAGGATTGCTTGAGCCTGGGAGGTGGAGGTTGCAGTGAGCCATCGTGCAACTGGATTCCAGCCTAGGTGACAAAGTGAGACCCTGTCTCAAAAAAAATAAGATAGTCCTTTAGTGTAGTGAGGTCCAAGATATTTAAATATACAACAACAATTGATGTCACTGACCCAGTACAGTATACTATATACTTTGAGGTGTTTTATTTCCTCCTCGTAATATTGAAGATTTTGAACTAAGTTACTTATAATTCCCTTTTATTGTATGATTGCTGTCATGTATTTGCCTTGTATTAGGATTATAGTCCTAAGCCTTGGAATGAAGTAAATAATAGTAAATATACAGGATTCCCTAGATCAGTGGTCCCCAGCCTTTTTGGCATCAGGGACTGGTTTCTTGGAAGACAGTTTTTCCATGGATGGGGTAGGAGGGATGATTTCAGGATGAAGCTGTTTCCCCTCAGATCATCAGGCATTAGATTCTGCTAAGGGTCATGCACCTGCAGTTCACAATAGGGCTCGCACTCCTATGAGAATCTAATGCTGTAGCTGATCTGACAGGAGATGGAGCCCAGGCGGTAATGCTCACTCACCCACCACTCACTTCCTGCTACATGGCCGAGTTCCTGACAGACCATAGACTGGTACCAGTCAGTAGCGTGGGGCTTGGGACCCCTGCCCTAGATCTAATAGACAAATCAAAATAGAATAGCACTAACCATTCTATTTGGTAAAACAGTTAACTGGATATGCAACATGATCACAGTGCCAGAGGATAAGTAGATTGCCCGACTGGAAATTACCTGTCAAGCTCATGGAAATTTTATCTTATTAAGCTTATTCTTGTGGTAGAGAGGGAGGAGGGATTTTGCAAAGGGAAGTGATTTGTGATTAACAGATTTCTTTGAACAGACTAATTGATGTGATAAACATTAATACGTTTTTTAGGCTTAAACTTTTTTTTCCAGATCACAAAGTGACCTAAACCATTAGGGCTTTAACAAATCTACTTCCAGAACTGGATATTGGTAATTCTGTTTTGCACTTTAAACATCAATTGGCTTATTTTTAAAATCTCATATTTTGTTTCTAAATAATGAGAAAGAAGAAAAGTTTTGACTCATTTGCAAGCCTTTGTCAGAAAATAACACATCCCAAGTATAGACAATCCTTGCTTAAAATTAAAAACTGAGTATATTGGGAGGCTGAGGTGGGAGGATCACTTGAGCCCAGGAGATTGAGGCTGCAGTGAGCTATGATCTCACCAGTGTACTGTAGCCTGGGTGACAGAGCAAGACCCTATTTCAAAAATAAAATAAAATAAAACCTAAGTATAATATCATTACAATTTTTTCCCAAAGGTGGGCATATTCCTGAAGGTGACCATTTTTTACATTGACTTTTAAAGTCCTAGAGATGGCTTGATGTGCTATCTAAAGTTTTTGGTCAAATGAATGGAATTTGTAGAATCTGTTGAAGATCATCTTGAGATTAAACTTGCAGAGTTATCATTCTTAATGCTTTTCATGAAATTGTATTTCTGGCTGGGCATGTGGCTCACACCTTGTAATCCCAGCAATTTAGGAGGCCTAGTCCTGCGGATCACTTGAGGTCAGGAGTTCAAGACCAATCTGGCTAACATGGTGAAACCCTGTCTCTACTAAAAATACAAGAATCAGTGGGTATCGTGATACGTACCTATGGTCCCAGTTTCTTAGGAGACTGAGGCAGGAGAATCTCTTGAACCCGGGAGGTGGAGTTTGTAGTGAGCTGAGATGGCAACTGGGCGACAGAGTGAGTGACAATCCATCTCAAAAAAAAAAAAGAAATTATGTTTCAACATCAGTGTTTCTTGCTTCATGATGGGTATAGCTAGCCAAAACATTACTAAAAATATTAAAACTGTGTAAATGTCAAAATCTACGTATCAGTTTGTTGTTATAGTGTACTATTCTCCTCACCTATAATATTGGACTCCTTGATACCAATGTGAATTTACCTGGTATTCTGTGAGGTGACCTACTGTTGTTTTTCTAGAATAAGGAGTAGAAATAGATGACTGTTCATGGTGAACTTTACCCTGTAAAGCAGAATTATATATTTGCCTGACTTGTTTGATCCAATGACTACTGTCTATCACCCTGAGAAGAATATTCAAGCATAGATGTTCACTGCTACTTCACTACACTGGCTAAGATTCCTGGGTAGACTTCACTGGGCTCCTGGTCTCTATTTCCATTGAGACTCCTTTGCCTTGCTATAGCAGCCTGAAAAATTCCAAGAATTTTAGAAAGTTGTTTTTCATCTTCAGAGAGGACATATTACTTGATGTAGAGTGGAGGCAGTCACTTTTGCATATTCTGTGCTGCTGAGGCAATTTCTGTTATTCGTTCCTCTGACCTTCCTTGGGTTCGTTTAGCTTCTATGAAAGTATTCCTTTTTCCAGAGAGTAAAAGTGCTACTGCCTCTGTAATTTGGACTTCCCTACTTAACCTATTTTAAGGTACTTAAAACTATCTTCTGCTTCACAAGAGCCTTATTTTACTTCATTTCTTTCTTTGGGTTCCTGTTTTGCAAGGGGAAAAACAATAAAAATGATAGCATTCTATCTTCCAGCCACAAATGTGGTCCTCACCTCTTTCTAATTACATAATTCCATACTCCTGAGAGCTAGAATTTATTGTTAAGTGAAAAAGTTTTGTATATTATTGAATCTAAGCTGTCATCAGTGGAGAAATTCACTATTTACCACTAAGAAATAAAAGTCATGCCCAATTAAACTGGGACACATCGCTGATTGTAAAATGCATCCTCGCTTTGGGAGACCGAGGCGGGCAGATCACGAGGTCCAGAGATGGAGACCATCCTGTCCAACATGGTGAAACCCATCTCTACCAAAAATACAAATTTTAGCTGGGTATGGTGACACACGCCTTTAGTCCCAGCTACTCGGGAGGCTGAGGCAGGAGAATTGCTTGAACCCAGGAGGCGGAGGTTGCAGTGAACCAAGATCCCACTGCACTCCAGCCTGGCAACAGAGACTCTGTCTCAAAAAAAAAAAAAAAAAAAAAATCCTAATTTCATGGATTTGGAGAAATGTGTGTGAAAGAAAAACTTTCGAAAGCAGCACAGAGCCTAAATAAGCATAGGAGTGCTGGGCGCAGTGGCTCATGCCTATAACCCCAGCACTTTGGGCGACCAGGCGGGAGGATCACTTGAGCCCAGGAGTTTGAGGCCAACCTGGGCAGCATAGGGAGACCCCATCTCTACAAGTAATTTAAAGAGAAAATCAGCTGGACATGGTGACATGTGCCTGTGGTTCCAGTTACCCAGAGGCTCTTGAGCCTAGAAGATCGAGGCTTCAGCGAACCATGATTATGCCACTGCGCTCCTCCAGCCTGGGTGACAGAGTGAGACTGTCTCAAAACAAGCATAGGAATAAGTATAACATAACTCCATTGGTTTTTAGAAGGGGCCAACCTCTGTAAAATTCTAGGGATGATTGAAGTATGACTCTGTTCTTTTTGTCTGGATCCAGTTCAGCATCAGGATGACTTTAAAGCCAGAGCACCACAATGTTGATTTCTATTTAGCTCTTAAGCCTATTTTAATATCAGTGGTTTTTTTTCCTAGAACATGGCATACATCCATTAATTATATAAAAGAGATGAAGGAGGTTGAAAGAGAAAGGCAATGAATTAAGGAATAGCAAAGATGTGTATAAGAGACAGGAGCAAGACCCTGTCTCAAAAATAAAATAAAACCTAAGTATAATATCATTACAATTTTTTCCCAAAGGTGGGCATATTCCTGAAGGTGACCATTT